CATCTTTCTATAAGCTGCATCTTTCTATAAGCATCATCTTTCTATAAGCTGCATCTTTCTATAAGCTGCATCTTTCTATAAGCATCATCTTTCTATAAGCTGCATCTTTCTATAAGCTGCATCTTTCTATAAGCTGCATCTTTCTATAAGCATCATCTTTCTATAAGCTGCATCTTTCTATAAGCTGCATCTTTCTATAAGCATCATCTTTCTATAAGCTGCATCTTTCTATAAGCTGCATCTTTCTATAAGCATCATCTTTCTATAAGCATCATCTTTCTATAAGCTGCATCTTTCTATAAGCATCATCTTTCTATAAGCATCATCTTTCTATAAGCTGCATCTTTCTATAAGCATCATCTTTCTATAAGCATCATCTTGCTTTCATTCCTTCATTGTCTTTCCATAAGCTTTCATTCTGTTATTCATCATCAAAGCATCATCTCACTTTTCTTGGAAATCCTACAAATATTAGTTGGTTAATAATAATTGTATTGCAATTTACATAATAAAATCCAACCAGTTTCATTGTTGTACATTTATATACCTCTATCTCTGTACACACAATACATATCTCTCTCTTGCTTTGATATATGTGTGTGTATATATAAATATATATATATATATATATATATATATATATATATATATATATTTATGTATATATGTTTATATATATATATATATATATATATATATATATATATATATATACATATATATATATATATATATATATATATATATATATATATATATATATATAGAAAAAAGTTTCAAATTAAAAATTATAATGTTTTATTTTATGAAAGTATTTATTTAATTATATATATATTTGATATTTCAAATTGTCCTCAATTTTTCATCAGAAATACCTGTTTGTTACAAATAAATTAAAATTACTGTTTGTTAGCAAGTAGCGTCCTTCACAAGACGTGGACGTCACGTGATATGGAACGTCACTGTTCGGATATTTCTAACTTAAATCTAACTGTCATAAATATTTAAAAAAAATTTTTTTTTACTATATCTAAAAAAAAAAAAAATTGCTTAACTATTGAAATATTCATAAAGATTTAAAACATCTAAGTCCCTATTCAACCCTAGTTTATGTGTATTTAATTTTAAAATCCAATATGTTTCTTTTTTTTCTGCGTGAATGTGGAAGTAAAATCGGAATCTATTAATAAACATTTGCAGTTTTCTAATGTGTGTCCTGATTGATTGTAGTGTTTAGCTATGGGGGAATAAGGGTTGTTTTGACGTATTGTTTGTTTATGGTTATTAAAACGAAATCTAAAATATTTCAATAGTTAAGCAATTTTTTTTTTTTATATCCGAACAGTGACGTTCCATATAAGAAAGTATACATGGCTTCTCATTATGCTATATATATATATATATATATATATATATATATATATATATATATATATATATATATATATATATATATATATATAAGCAGTGTGGACATAGTTATCAGCACATGTCTCATGATTATGTTTAAGCATTAAACTGACTGTAACTATCCAGTGTTTATACCTGTGTCCACATACTTATATATTATACTTATATATACTTTGTTCCTGTGTTTACCAGTGTTTTAAACAAATGCATTATTAACACATCTGGATTGATTTCCATACCTAATTATCATATTTTGTAATTGGGGTTATGAATGAAATAGCAAAAGATGTAAATCAGCTGAAAATCTCATATTCTTTCATGGTTTGAAATCATTTTTTTTTATTAATCATTTCACCCCAAGTAAGGTGATAATGCTGCTGTGGCACATGGAATTTACAGGGAGTGAAAAAAAATGAGAAAATATTAGTAAGAAGAAAGGACAAAAAACAACAGAATTTGGAAAGACAGAATATGACGATTGGTATTGCATTTCATTTCTTCCAGATTTTATGTGTCAAGAAATCTAAAAGGATTTATGCAAATGAGAAGTGTAAGAAAAGAAACTTAAAATATGGCATATGTTTTTGTCTAGGTAGTTCAACAATAAAATGATGAAACCTAGTTTCCAATCTAGTAGCACACTAATATTCATGCATTTGTGGCACCAAGGATAAAATCTTATAAGAACAACTGCCATGAAAATATTTGTAAAAAAGACAGAGGGAAGCCATGTTACATTTTGGTGAGAAAATGACTGAAGTTTAAATGACAGGATCAATTACATAAATGCTTCTTTAAATTTTGTCAAGAATCTTGAGATATAATTTGGAACATCATAGCAAATCAAGTGAACATTTCCAAAGAAACCAGAATTAAGGTAATGAAAATGGCCAAGTATAAATCAATTTAATATGGTTCCTCATTTTGAAAGAGCAAAAACATTCAAATTCTGATAAAAAATCAAGAAATCAAAAAAATCTATCAACCATATTTGAATACTGGATGCATAAGATACAAATTTCTGGTATAAAACCTAAAATCGCAAATTCATTTTCAAACTGAGTTCATATGACATAAAATCATTTCCCTTCATTTTTATCTTGAAAGTTATTTTTTGAGGTTTTGCTGTAACCATGGTTTTATTTTCTTTCAATTGATTTGTTTCTTCCTTAATGTTTGCCAGTGATTCCTTTAAAAACAAAATATCTCTTTGTCTGATAATAGACACATAAAAATATCTCCGCTTAAAAGATTTTTTGCCTGATGAAATTTTGCTTCAGAGGAAACATAAATGTAAATTTAGGTAGAGACACAAGAACCCCCACCCCTGTGCATTTTGTTGTATTTAGTCACGTATTTGTTCTTTGATGTGCAGTGTAAAGATTTAAATTTCTGCACAGACAGCAATTCATAGTACAACTGACAAGTTCCCTGATAAAAAATGATGAGGAAAATCCAATACATGATATTAAATCATGATTATTCTTGTTTCAGATCTTATTTAACTTGGGTAATATAGAAATTAATAAAAAGTAAAAAAAAAAATGTTCACACTTAGCAAGTTTCCTCTATGTATTAAATATAATTCTGTTGGCATATAATTTGTATTTGAAGACAGAAATGAGAACAGAAATAAATTTGGTTAAATTTGAAGTAAAAGTTTAAAATTTTTCTTACATGTTTGTAAAGTACCTTGTCTGAACAATATTATGTGAATATCTGAAACTTCTACTGAGGATCTTCCTTCAGTTTTCATTTATCTTTAGCATAGAATTCTTGGCACTGTGAAAATTTGGTGGAATGAAAAGAAGAAATTGCTTCAGAATTTCTCTTGAAATTATTCTATTTTTCTTTTTATGTATTCGTTGTTTCTAAAGACTGGAAATTTCTTCATGGTGCAGAGGTCAAAATCTATTGCTTTTAAAATCTGTGGCAACAAGTTTGGATAACTTTTGTAATGTTGTCCAAGTTGGTTATTAAAATAATAACTAGAATGGCAACTTACAAAGTATTAGGGTTTATTTTAAACAAGAACAATACAATTTACAAGTTTGTCTGAAACTGGAGATCAAACACCCCTGAGCCCAACACCATACATGGTTATATTCCTACTGGAACAGTCCATTTCATAGAGGTTTATATTCCAGAGGCTTATACTGGAACAGTCCATTTAATAGAGGTGTATCAGTTCTAGTATACAGAGGGTTATCAGTTTGTTCCCTACGACAATAACTATTTGTGAAAAACAAGACAGAGAACAACAGAAGCAAAAAGAACCAAGGAAGCACAAAATGACTGTACAGACATCAAAAATACTTCTCCTTTATGTGCCATCTTCCTTCAGGATGTAGGAGATCATGGCCCTTCACATCTTCCTGTCCTTTGTACCTCTTAATAAACCTTGTCCTTCTGCTATTTCTTCCAATCACTGTTCTGCTGTCCATTTACTCAAGCTCATCAAGTATATCACACATTGTCTTCCTCTGTCCCTCTTGCCCTCTATCTGTCCTGTGTGTATCAGATTTGCCAAGCTCCCCTTCCTCATTATATGCTCAACTGTCTCTTCCTGATGTTAAGTATTGTTTTCCTTTTTGTTTCCATTATTTACAAAACTCTGTCATTGCTCACATATTCACATGTTACACTCAGCATCTTTCAGTAGAACCACAATTCTGTTGCATCAAGTCTCTTCTTCATCTTTGAGGAAATTTTTCAGCACTTGTTGCCATACAGGAGGACAAGATATCATGTAACAGTTTAGTCCACTTACCTTAAAATCACATCTGTGTAGATATCTACTAAAATTGGTTTGGCAAAATAAAGGAAAGAGAAGAAAGATTATGTTATGATATGGGGAGGGTCTTCCTGTTTTGAAAATCAGCATTTAAAATATTGGTTTTTTATAACTGTAAAATTGCCTTGTTATAGACATAAATAGCCTACACAAATGTAAACAGATGAAAACACACATACGCACATTCATTCATACAGAAACACACACATTAATAAAGATAGTTCATTTCAGTCAGAATTCGATCTTTTCCAATACAATACACTTTCTCAAGTCATTATTGATGATTCTTTCAGTTCTCATTAAAAGACTTAAAGAAAGCCTGATGAGTGGAATTGGTTCTCTTATGTTTAAGATACAATATAAAAATTTTAAGAAAAGATCAAATGGTTTGCTGTACATACAAATGAAGATTGCAAGATTTAAGAATTTGAGATTTTTGTATTGTGCGATTCTGCTATTCATCATAGCCAAGCAAATATATTTAGCTACTTTTTCTTTTTTTCTTTCTTATTCTTGTTCTTCATTAGTCTATTTTCTTCCTAATCATTTCTTTTTCTCTTTCTGTTTTAGTCAACTCCTTTTCTTCTCTTTTTTTTTCTTTTTCCTTCATATTTATTCTCTTTTTTTTCTTAGTTATTTTCTGTTTCTCATTTTGAATCAATTTTTTTTTCAAATCTTTCCTGATGTTCTCTTTCATGTAAACATTTGATACATTTTTCCTTCTCATTATTTATTTGCTTTTAACCAATTGACTTTCTTTTATTTCTGAATAAAAACATGATTTTACTTTTTCTTTATGTATTTCTCTTTCTCTTATCTACTGTTTTTACTTTTCCTTCATCTGTCATTTCTTTTCCATTCTATATTTATTCTTTCTCTTTTCTTTTCTCTTTCTCACCTTCTCCTTTTTTTCTTTCTTCTTTTTTCTTTTTTACTTATCTTTTTCTTTCTTTCATTTTCTCTTCATAACTTTCTCTTTTTAAGTTCTCTTTTCTATCTTATTCTCCTTTCTGATTTTTCTTTTATTCTTTCCATCTGACTCTTTCTAATTCTTTATCTTTTCTTGTTAATTTCCTTTTTCTTTATCTTCTTCTTTCTTTTCTCTTTTCTTTGTTATCTAGTTTCTTGTTTCTTACTCTTTTTTTTATTGCTGCTTTTCTCTTTTCTTTTATTCTTCTTTTTCTTCCTTTGTATTTTTCTTTTCTGTTATCTTTTTCTCTTTCCTTTTTTCATTTTATCTTTCTTTCATTCCCTTTCCTTTTCCTTGTTTCTTTTCTCTTTATTCCTCGAATTTTTCTTTTCCTTTGCTTCTTTCTTTTCTTCTTGTTCTTTGCTTGCTTTAGACAATTTCTTTATTTACAATTCCACCATTTTATTCTTTTGTTATTGTCTTTCATTTTCTTTCCTGCACTTTTCACTTTTCATTCTTTTCTCCTTTTTGTCTGTGAATATATTCTTTCCTTCACCATTTTTTCGTTTATTTCTTTTTATCTGCATCTATGCATCATTCTCTATATTTCCTTTTCTCTTTTTTCTTCCTTGTCATCATTTCCCAATTCACTGGAAACACGACCCCACCCTGCTGGAAGTGAACTATCATTTTAGCACACCTTTACTAACAACAACGATCATGCAGAGTGAATAAAGAGGTGTTTAGAGATTATTGCTTTATTGATTTATTCAGTCTGATGGCCTCCACCCTGACAAAATTGTCTGGAATCTTCTTCTACAATGGTCGTCACCAAAGGTCATGAAACTGTGATCAACTATTATATCACTTATTATTTGCGATTGTAATATTTCCACAGAGAAACACAACACATACGGATTTGATAGATTTAACATTTGCTTATAATGTTCCTCATTATCAAAATCCTTTTTCATGCTTGTGAACTGACTAATTGATAGAACATTGTTTTTTCTTTTTTCCTCTAATTCTTTAACAGATTTTGCTATCTTTTATTTTTCCTTCTTTTTATTCTTCTCAGCCTTTGAATATTTCTCATTCCATTTCCTTTCATTGTATAAGTTCTTCCATAAACAAACCAAGCAACATACAGAATTATTTGTTCTTACATATATTTAAGCTTTTCCACTTTCTTGCATTCTCTCTAATAGTTCCTCTCTCTCACATCTTGTTCTTTATAAATCTTCCTTGACACTAATGATCTAGTTTTACCATATCTCTCTCTCTCTGTCCCTTTTATCTCTCTAATAATTTTATGCATCTGCTTTTTCCAAATTCACATTTCTTTTTTCCTAATTCTTTGTATTTGCCAACTCTTTTTTTTCTTCATTTTCTTTTAATCTTTTCTACCAAACCTACTTTCTTTCTTTCTTTCTTTCTTTCTTTCTTTCTTTCTTTCTTTCTTTCCTTCTTTCTTTCTTTCCTTCTTTCTTTCTTAATATCTCCATACTTATTTCTTTCTTTCTTATTCTTTCTTAATATCTCTCTACTTTTTCTTTCTTTCATTCATTCTTTCTTAATATCTCCCTACTTCTTTCTTTCTTTCTTTCTTTCTTTCTTTCTTTCTTTCTTTCTTTCTTTCTTTCTTCCATTCTTAATATCTTTCTTTCTTTCTTTCTTTCTTTCTTTTCTTAATATCTCCTTCTTATTTCTTTCTTTTTTTCTTTCTTAAAATCTCTTTCTTTCTTTCTTTCTTTCTTTCCTTTTTTTTCTTTCTTTCTTTCTTTCTTTCTTTCTTTTCTTTCTTAATATCTAATTCTTTTTCTTTCTTTCTTTCTTCATTCTTTCTTTCTTTCTTTTTTTCTTTCTTTCTTTCTTTCTTAATATCTCCATAATTTTTCTTTCTTTCTTATTCTTTCTTATTCTCTCTACTTTTTATTTCTTTCCTATTCTTTCTTAATATCTCCCTTTCTTTCTTTCTTTCTTTCTTTTTTCTTTCTTTCTTTTTTCTTTCTTTCTTTCTTAATATCTCCTTCTTATTTCTTTCTTTTTCTTTCTTAAAATCTCTCTACTTCTTTCTTTCTTTCTTTCTTTCCTTCTTTCTTTCTTTCTTTCTTTCTTTCTTTCTTTCTTTCTTTCTTTCTTTATATCTCCATACTTATTTCTTTCTTTCTTTCTTTCTTTCTTTCTTAATATCTCCCTTCTTATTTCTTTCTTTTTCTTTCTTAATATCTCTCTACTTCTTTCTTTCTTCATAGCTCCCTACTCTTTTCTTACTTTCTTAATATCTCTCTACTTCTTTCTTTCTTTCTTTCTTTCTTTCTTTCTTTCTTTCTTTCTTTCTTTCTTTCTTTCTTTCTTTCTTTCTTTGCTTTTTAATATCTCTCTATTCTTTCTTTCTTTCTTTCATTCTTTCTTTTTTTTTTCTTTCTTTCTTTCTTTTTTTCTTTCTTTCAATCTTTCTTTCTTTCTTTCTTTCTTTCTTTTCTTTTTTCTTTCTTTCTTTCTACTTCTTTCTTTCTTTCTTTCTTTCACCTTTTCTTTCTTAATATATATTTACTTCTTTTCTTTCTTTTCTCTTTCTCATTCTCTGTATCTCTTATATGCACAAATTTTCTCACTTTGCTTTTTCCCTGTATCTCTGTCTTCTTGATTTATTTTCTCTGACCATGACAATCTTTTATCTTTTTCTCTTTTCCTTTCTCTCTTAACCACTCATTCCTTTCCCTTTCTCTATTAACCACTTTCTCCTTTTTCTTTCTCTCTTAACCACTCACTCTTTTTCCTTTCTCTATTAACCACTCTCTCCTTTTCCTTTCTCTATTAGCCACTCATTCCTTTCCCTTTCTCTATTAACCACTCATTCCTTTCCCTTTCTCTATTAACCACTCTCTCCTTTCCCTTTCTCTATTAACCACTCTCTCCTTTTCCTTTCTCTATTAACCACTCTCTCCTTTCCCTTTCTCTATTAACCACTCTCCTTTTCCTTTCTCCTATGCTTCCTTTCCTTTCCCTTTCTCTAACCACTCTCTCCTTTCCCTTTCTCTATTAACCACTCATTCCTTTCCTTTCTCTATTAACCACTCTCTCCCTTTCCTTTCTTTTCCCCTTTCTCTATTAACCACTCTCTCCTTTCCCTTTCTCTATTCTCCTTTCCCTTTCTCTAAACCACTCTCTCCTTTTCCCTTTCTCTATTAACCACTTTTCCCTTTCTCTATTAACCACTCATTCCTTTCCCTTTCTCTAACCACCTCTCCTTTCCCTTTCTCCTATTAAACCACTCTCCTTTCCCTTTCTCTATTAACTTTTTCCCTTTCTCTATTAACCACTCTCTCCTTTCTCCTCTATGCTCCCTCTCTCCTTTCCCTTTCTCTATTAACCACTCTCTCCTTTCCCTTTCTCTATTAACCACTCTCTCCTTTCCCTTTCTCTATTAACCACTCTCTCCTTTCCCTTTCTCTATTAACCACTCTCTCCTTTCCCTTTCTCTAGCCCCTTCTCTCTCCTTTCCCTTTCTAATATCCTCTCTCTCCTTTCCCTTTCTCTATTAACCACTCTCTCCTTTCTTTCCTCTCTCCCCTTTCTCCTTTCCTTTCCCTTTCTCTATTAACCCTCTCTCCTTTCCCTTTCTCTATAACCCTCTCTCCTTTCCTTTTCTATTAACCTTTTCCCTTTCTCTTTTCCTTTCTCTATTAACCACTTCTCCTTTCCCTTTCTCTATATCCTTTATCTTTTTCTTTCTCTTTAACCAATTTCCCTTTATCTTTCTCTTTATTCTTTTTATATTTTCTCTTTTCTTCATCATTTTCTCATTTACTTTCTTCTTAATCCACTATCTCTCACCTCCTCCTTAAAATTGGTCCATTACTTCCTTATTGTCAGAATTTTTTCCTTTATTCTTCCATTTTCAAGAGAGAATCTCTTTTAACTATTCCATTGCACAGCTAAAGACAAAACCAAAACTTATCTTTCGAACTTCCTTTCTGCAACGGATGACTACCAAATTCCTTGTAGAAGAAATAAAGTTGCTTTCTTCTGCAAAAGAATTCATTGAATCAAATCCTCCTACCATTTAGTGTCTTTTCATTTTTTTTTTCACAGGAAAAGTTTTCATCTTCAGATTATAGAAATTGGTTTCTTTGCCTTACCATCTTTAAAAGGTACAAAAATGTTTGCACCTGCAATTAGTTTATGTATTTTATTTATTTTCTACTTGGCCGAATAATTATATTATTACTTATTAATATTATTATTTTATTTTCTTATTATTATTCATCATCATATATTCTTTTCTAGAGAAACATTTTGTAATTTAGGGTAGAGGAATTGCTTATTCAGTAATGCTGTTTGTATAATAAGAAACCCGTTGTGTAGCAAATTTAGCAAATGTCACTTGTTCTTTGTAGCTTACTATTAAATTTAAGACCTTGTGAATAGCTTGAGTCCTCAAGACAGATTGGTAGTTTAAGCAAATAATCAAGAACGTCAATAGTTTCCAAATTTTATTTTGTTAAGAACATCAGAAAATTGAAGATTTCTCTTGAATTCTTCCTATGATCTTTCATCCTAAAAACCTATTCATGTCATTAAATTGAAGTGACGTTTTTAACTTGCTGTCAAAACAAAAAAAATAAATTTTTCCAGTTTTGGGCAAATTGAAGTCAATTTAATTCTTCTTTTATGTGTGGTGTCCATTCAGGATATGGGTGATCATGGTTCTCCACTACTTTCTATCCTAAGCAAGGTTACTCCCTTTACTATCCCACCCTGTTCATGCTCTAAAATCCATTTACAAAAAATATTTAGGAGTGTTACTCATTGTTTTTTCTATGCCTTCAATATACCCTGTGAGTGTTAAATTCTCCAAGCCCTTTTTCCTTATTATGTGTCTCAGAAATTTTAATGGACTCTTTCTGATTTTAAATATAAGCATACTTTTTGTTTCCATTTTCCTTAAAACTTGTTGCTTACATGTTATCTTTCACTCTCTGGAATCTAATGTCCATAAGCATGGCCTCGGTATCTATGTTCACAAGCATCTTCCACTGGCAAGAGAACGATCTCTTGTGTCTCCAGATTGTTCTGACACGTGCTTCTGACTTTCACTAGTCAGATATCTCTTCTTCTTTTAACATTCCTCTTCTCATGACCCTTGCTTGCTAGATAGAATTTCTGATTGGATCATATCAAATGGCTTCATCACTCTAACACCATTGATTTTGCTGGAATCCAGACTTTGGACTTTTCAATTTCTCAATTGTGTTTCTCTAGTAACTCCAACCAATACACTTCTCTCTACTTGATCTCTTCCTTACCTCATTGCCAGAATTATGGAATGCTCTGCAGTTGTATATTCTTTGGCAACTCTGTCCATACAGTAGTGTCTATAGATATCTCTATCAATTCTCCAATCAGGCAAGAACCCCCTATTAATGTAGCATTTTTCTATTAGGAACACACTGATTGGCATTCATTTTTTGATTTCCTTTGCAATGTTCCTTTGGATTGATATTTTTAATCCATCCTGTTGAGAAATGTGCCACTGAGGTCTCTTCCTGGCTGAAAGCAGGCATTGAAGTTTTTGTGTCAGCACAGAAATACCAAGTGAAACCACAATCTTCTTCTTGGTTCTCTTCTGCCTGTTCAGCCACTATAGCCCACAGGAATCACTTTTGGCTATACCAGAGTAACAGGTCTGATTGCAACAGACACTGTTGCAATCAGACCTGTTACTCACCAGTTTGATTCTATAGATTACTAGTGGCTCTGCAAGAATCTACTGAACAAGAAAATATACCCAGTCCCTTCTCTCTTGAATAAATTTGAAATATATTGTCATCTACTGTAGATAAATCCAAGTGCCTGGCTCAGCAATTCTTTTCCTGCTCCATTTTCAGCTTACCATTTGTGTCTTTGCCTGATTTTCCCTCTAGAACAGAATCTCTACTACTGAGTAATATGCACATAACTTTGTCCATAGTTTATGCTATTATTTCTAGACTAGACCCCCACAAGGCTTGCAGACTCCTAAAGATTATTGGCAGCTCTGCAAGAGTGTGCTGAACAACAGTAAACCCACAATACTTCCATCATTCAATCAATTTGAGGTCCTGACTACTACTATGTTGGCATCTCGATCCCACCCTTTTACTGTCGAAACAGTTAAATGTAACCACCTCTTCTACTCAAACAGCTTCTTCTCTTGCACTTCTCACCTGTGGAATTCTCTTCCCTGATAACTATAATCTTCAAGTGTAATGTCAATTGATATCTTCTGATACCTTGATCTTGTTCCCCATCCTCTTTATCCTCTCCCCAAACACGCCTTTTTACTCTTGTTCTCTACCCTCTGTAACCCCTTGTGTGTTAGTGGCACTCCTCCTTGCTTGGGGTGAAATGCTTAAAAAATTTCTGCAATTGTTCTAAAGAAATGTACTCCTGAACTAACTCCTGTTCTCTCTAAACATTACAATAAATGCCTCACTATTTTTTGCTTTTCAGCTTGTTGGAAGAACTTTGAAGAATCATCTGATGCCTTGAATTATCACTCTTTTAGTTCCTTACTAATTTTTAACAAAGTATTAGAGACAACTCAATGAAGTATCCTACTTCACACAACCTTTTTTGGATAAACAATATGGCATCCATTTCTAGAGGTTTTTCATCCAATGTCTTAATATTGCTGAATTTGACTAAGCTTCAGATATGAATTGGCAAAGCTTGGTCTATGGC